ATCTCGGCTCACCGCAACCTCCGCCTCCTGGGTTCAGGCAATTCTCCTGCCTCAGCCTCCTGAGTCGCTGGTATTACAGGCATGTACCACCATGCCCAGCTAATTTTTTGTATTTTTAGTAGAGACGGGGTTTCACCATGTTGACCAGGATGGTCTCGATCTCTTGACCTTGTGATCCACCCACCTTGGCCTCCCACAGTGCTGGGATTACAGGCTTGAGCCACCACACCCGGCCCGCAATTAATTTTTTTAATTTAAAATAAAAATGTTTAACTTCATTATTAATCAAGTACTTTCAAGCTAAAATGAAAATATATCATTTTTTACTTAGAAAATTGGGAAAGTGCTGGTGTGGGTATAGGTCAATAGGTATATGCATATATTGCCTGTGGGAACATAAATTGACACTTTTAGGAGGGCAATTTAGCAATCTGTCACTAGAATTCTATAAAGTAGTTTACACTTCTTATCCAGTAATTTCATATTTAGAAACTCATCCTAAAGAAATCAACTGGGTAAAGCTGTATGTGTAAGAATACAATCACAGCATTGTTTATAAAAGAGAAAAAGCTAATTAGGCACAATCCTGATGTCCACCAATAGAAATAACCCATCAGGGTAGACCCAAGGCAATTGAATACCAGGTGGCCTTTAAAAATGATGATGAAGACCTACTATACACATTTTTTAAAATTCATGAAATATCATTAAATGAAAACAAAGGAATGCATATAATATGATTCCATTTTGTGCAGGCACACACTTTTGTATCAATTTTCTCAGACTGCTTACCAATACAGTTAAAAATAGTTATGTGTATATATTTACAATGAAAAAAGTTTGGGAGGATATTATATACTAAATATTAACAGTGACTATTTCTAGACTGTGGGAATTCAAGTGATTTTCTTTTTTCACATATATTTTTCTATGACAAAAACAGTAATATAGAGAACAGGTCTAGAGAGGACAAGAAGTAGATGCAACTATTTTGTGAAACTGGATAATGTAGTAGCAAATCTGTATAATTTATGGTAGAGGCAAAATTTGCATTTGAAACTAGGTAAGTTATCGCAAATGCCCAGATACATTCAGAAATTGCTCAACATTCTACTTTCGCTTGAAGATGACAATCTTTCAAAGGATATGTAATACAGTGACTCCCACTAGATATTAATAAAATTACTCATTTTGGGATTCATGAAGTAAAAAAAAAAATGTTCAAGGACTTCCTAATTTCAAAACATAATATAATGCAACAATAATCAAAACAGTATGGTATTGGCATAAAGACAGACAACTAGACTAGTAGAATAAACAAGAGACCCCAGAAGTAAATTCTTGTGTATATGGTCAATGACTTTCAACAAGGTACCAAGACCATTCAGGGAGGAAAGAACATTCTATTTAAGGAATGTTGGAGAAACTGAACATCCACATGCAACAGATTAATACCTAAAAGTAAGACCTAAAACTATAAAACTCCTGGAAGAAAATGTAGAGGAAAAGCTTCATGACATTAGATTTGGCAATGATTTGTTAGATATGACACCAAAACCATAGGCAACAAGAGCAAAAATTGACAAATGGGACTACATTAAATTTAAAATTTTGTGCATCAAAGGACACAAACATTCCTATGGAATGGAAGAAAATATCTGCAAATCATATGTCTGATAAAGGGTTAACATCCATAATATATAAAGAATTCCTATAAATTCATCAATAAAAAAATCAAATAACCTAATTTAAAAATGGGCAAGGGACTTGAATAGACATTTATGTCTTTGGAGAAATATCTCACATGGCTGACAGGTATATAAAAAGATGTTCAACATCACTAATCATCAGCAAACTGAAAATCAAAATCACATGAGATATAATCTCACACCCATAAGGATGGCTACTATCAAAACAATAACAACAAACAAACAGATAATAACAAGTGTTGGCAAGGATGTGAAGAAACTAGAGCCCTTGTACACTGCTGATGGGACTGTACAAGGGTACATCTGCAATGAAAAACAGCACAGAGGTTCCTCAAAATATTAAAAACAGAACTACCATATGATCCAGCAATTCTACTACTGGGTCTATATCTAAAAGAACTCAAATCAGGGTCTTGAAGAGACATTTGCATGCCCATGTTCATTGCAGCGCTATTCACAGTAGCCAAAAGGCAGAAGAAACCCAAATGTCTGTTGATGAATAAATGGATAAACAAAGTATTTCACAAAATATTACTCAGTCTGAACAAGTAAGGGGTTACTGTCACATGCTATAACATGGATAAACCTTGAGGACATAATGCTAAGTGACACAAGCCTGTCATAAAAGGATGGACACTGAATGACTCCAATTATATGAGGCACTTAGAGTAGTCAAATTCACAGAAACAGAACAAAGGGTGTTTTCAGGGGTGGGGGGAAGAAGCTAAGGGGAGTTGTTTAATGGGTATAGAGTTTCAGCTTGAGAAAAGGAAAAAGTTCTGGAGATCTGTTCACGACAATGTAAATATACTTAACTCTACTGAACAGCACACCTAAAAATGGTTAAGATGATAAATTTTATGTTATGTGTTTTTCACTACCATAAAAATGTATATAAATTTTTTTTAAATCACAGGACAATATAAAGGAGCTTTCTTCTTTAAGATGTCTTGCGAAACATTGTAACATATGCAGACTAATACTTTTTATCTTTTCAGCCAGAAAACTTGCCCAATAGAGGTTCACTGAATTAAATACAGAGAAAGCCCAAAATACTGTTTTATGTGTAAAAACTAATTTCATGTAAAAAGCAAAAAAGTAAAAAAAATGTAATATCCAACATTCTCAAGAACAAATATTGAGGATACAGAAATCCATCTTTTAACATTTAAAAAGTTAGGGAAATGGGAGGTATTGAGGATCAAGCATAGACACTACTTAACATTTTAAAAATAAAGAACTTTAATTGTGACAAAACAGTTTTGAGGTCTGAGCTTTCCCTGATAAAGATAATATATTTGCCAAAAATTTATTTTAAATAGTTTGAGGACCATGAGACAAATGATGCTAGAAGGTTGTCATATTTTGAATAACCATTTTTTAAATTATTTATTTATTTATTTATTTTGAGATGGAGTCTTGTTCTGTCACCCAGGCTGGAGCGCAATCTCGGCTCACTGCAACCTCCACCTCCCTGGTTCAAGCGATTCTCCTGCGTCAGCCTCCGGAATAACTGGGACTACGGGGGCTCACCACCACGCCCGTGTAATTTTTTTTTTTTTTGTAATTTTTAGTGGAGACGGGGTTTCACTATGTTGGCCAAACTGGTCTTGAACTCCTGACCTCCGGATCTGCCTGCCTCAGCCTCCCAAAGTGCTGGGATTATAGGCATGAGCCACTGTGCGCTGTGTGAACAACAATTAATACTAACTAGAAATAATTAGAAATGCTAACTAGAAAGGAGGGGAAGCGGGGCTCCCGGGTGGCTACTATGCATGGAGAGGTGATGCTCAGACCCAGCTCTGAGGGCAGCTATCAGCAGTATCTGGTCTGCTTGCTTCTTCATTCTTTTTTGTCTCTTTTTAAAACAGCCTCACTCTGTCGCGCAGGCTGGAGTACAGTGGTGTGATCTCAGCTCACTGCAGCCTCTGCCTCCTGGGCTTAAGCCATCCTCCCACCTTAGCCTCCCAAGTAGCTGGGACTACAGGTGCACACCACCACACCAGGCTAATTTTTGTATTTTTTGTAGAGATGGAGTTTTGCCATGTTGTCCAGACTGATGTCACACTCCTGAGCTCAAGTGATCCACCCACCTCAACCTCCCAATGCAGAGGCATTTTTAATTGAACTGAATCCAAATAGCACTGGTTAGCCTAACGAACACAGTGTTTGTCAACTGCTATTTTAAGAAAATCTGGCTGTAGACTGTTAATTCTTCAATCAATGAATGCACTTCTGCAAGGAGATGACATGCCATAGAACGGTTCTGGTTTTACAATGACCTCACTTAACACAATGTTGAAGGCAGTTACTACACCCAGTGAATCACAGTCAAGTCAGGGCTGGATTTTCTACAGTGTCTGTGAGATACTGGATGACCGCGTTGCTCTGTCCTGGGCTCTTGCT